TCTCTGGGACTGGACTCCATCTGGAAGTCCAGGACTCTGTGGCATGCCCACCTTGGCCTTCGGGTCGCCTCTGCTGGCACTCCTGGTGCATGGATGCTTGCCCGGGGAGTCCCAGCCAACCGCCTGCCGCCCCGTGCTGAGGCCTCTTTGACATTAGCTATGAGCAACAGGCACTAATGGCTGCCATCGCCAATGTGGGCAGCACCCCCTTCTGGGATCCATATTGTCAGACAGCTGGCCCCGAGGCAAGGAGGAAAGATGCTCAGTATTCCTCTCGAGAAGAAACGCCTGGTTGTTTAGGGTCCAAATCTTTGGAGCCAGAGTCACATGGCTTTGAGTGCAGAGAAATGAGGTGCTGTTGATCGCACCCACCGAAAGACAGCAATTCAGTTAGCCACTTCCTTCCCAGCCTCCACCCCTTAGCGATGGATCACTCACAGGCACTCATGCCTCACACTTTATGGGCACGTCTTGCTTGCATCTGAATCACAATATTGAAGGTACAAGAGATGCTATTTTTGGAAGGAGGCAGGGTTTAAAAACTGAACGTGTTGGGTGAATTGCACTGCCCAGTAGAGGAGCAGAGACTTCAGGTTTGGCTGTCGTAATAAATTGAGTAACTTGCTTATCTTCATAAAAGGGCTTTGTACAGCAGGGAAATAAGTTGATAATATTTTTAATCTATGTAATCTCTCCAAAGAGTTCACCAGATTCGGAGCTTTTACTTTGTTTTAAAAAGACAGATCTTCAGGAGAAGAATTGATTGTTTTCTTTCACATCCCTCCGAAAAAGTAAAATGAGAGAAGTTATTTCTTGGCATGGTTAAGACTTTGGCAGACATAGTCACCGAAACCCATGAGACTGTGGTACTTGGTGTACTTGCTGAAGAGAGGAAAACAATAAATGCTCTTAAAAACGTTGGAGGAGGAAAAGGTTGATGATGCTACTCTTTCACTGATCCGTAGTTATTAGATACCAGTTTGAGAGAGGAATAAAAAAAGAGCATTTTTTTTTTCCCGTTAAGTGATTGATTTTTTTGATTACCACTAATTCCACATGCTACGAGCAGAAGAGAAGTGTAAGACGGGGTCCTTGCCTCTCAAGGCACTTAGTCTGTTTGACACTCAGTAGCTAGTTGATTTGTTTTTTATTACAAAGGTACACCATACCATGTTGATTATGAAATAGAAGCTGAACTTTGTCTTTTTGAAAGTAGTCCCTTTTCATTCAGCTTAAAAGTCCTTTTTTTCCTTCTACCTCCTGGTCAGTTTTTCCTTTCTTGAACCTCACCGCTTCCGGCCTTTACATCCTCGACCTCTGAGAGGTTCTTTAAGACAAAACCAAATGCTCTGGATTGATCTGACGCTTCCCTTGGTAGGAACAGGGCTCTAAACTCTGGAGCCAAACTGTGTGGGTTCAAATCCCAGCCCCATCACTTACCAGCTGTGTGACCTTGGGCAGGTGGCTAAACCTCTCTGTGCCTCAGGCTCCTCATTTAATAAAATGGCCATAATAACATTATCTACCTCACGTGGTTAATGTGAGGCTGAAACAGTGAATATTTGCAAAGTCTTAGAACACTCACTGGCACTGAATAAGTGGCCAATTAAATACAATCGATTTCATTCTTCACGGGTTCCATATTTGCAAATTCTCTTACTTGCTAAAATTTATTTGTAATCATAAAATCAATACTTGTGGTGCTTTCATGGTCATTCGTGGACATGTGCAGAGTGGCAACAAATATGAGTAATCCAGGGGCTTCCCTGGTGGCGTGGTGGTTGAGAGTCCGCCTGCCGATGCAGGGGACGCGGGTTCGTGCCCCAGTCTGGGAAGATCCCCCATGCCGCGGAGCGGCTGGGCCCGTGAGCCATGGCTGCTGAGCCTGCGTGTCCGGAGCCTGTGCTCCACAACGGGAGAGAAAAAAAAAAAAAAAAAAAAAAAAAATATATATATATATATATATATATATATATATGTGTAATCCAACACACACATTCCCAGCTGAGACAAAGCAACTCTTCGCCTTTTTGTTTCAGCTTTCATACTGTAAACAAGCGTCCTTTTAAATGTCTCTTTAGTGTCACTTTTTTGGTGTGCTTTTTGTTGGCGATTTTGCTGTTTAAAATGGCACCCAATCACAAGTGCTGAAGGGCTATCTTGTGTTCCTAAGTGCCAGAAGACTGTGATTGCCGTGTGGAGAAAAGACAAGCTTTTCCTGTGTTCGATAAGCTTTGTTCAGACATGAGTTCTAGTGCTGGTGGCCGTGAGTTCAGTGTTAATGAATCAGCAATATATATTACATCAGGTATCTTTAAATGGAATCGGAGAAAATAAGGTAATGTATTGATCAGTTAATGAAATTGTTGTGACCGGTGGCTCGCAGGAACCTAACCCTAGATTTCCTCTAGGAGCAGAGGTTCAATATTTGCTAATTCAGTGCTTGACTGAATGATAAGAATTGACTGCAGATAAATGGAATCCAAGTACTCAGAGGGGCAGCCTCCTTTAGGACAAGCTTTTGACTGCCGGGAGTATCCCTGGGAGGGCGGGAGAAGCAGAAGTAGTTCTGGCCATGCAGGGTGTGCCTCAGCTGGGCACAGATTTTTCTGGCAGATTGAAAAAAGCAACAACCAAAAAGATGCAACCACATTTGGTCCCTTAGAAGCATAAGTTTTCATAGAAGATCCATCTGGAAATGGAGAGTAAATGTTCCCCCTTCCCCACAAATTCTTAATTCAAGAGTATTTTCCCTCATCTTTGGACCTACCTAAGAGTTTGTAGAAAACGTTTGATACTCAAAACCAATAAATTGAAAGCTTTCCCACAAGCAGACAATAGACCCCATTATGCAGGGTATAACGTTTGTTATACTTAGCAATTCTCTTGTTTGCTTGGAGCACCAGCCTTTTCAGAAAGGGATCATTTTGTCCCTTCTGATTGAAAAGATCACAAAATGCTTCAATTTGGTGAGAAGTTTTGCCAACATATCTATTTTCCCCCAAACTCTTACTTTATGAAATGTTTGCAAATTGTTTCACACATACAGTATATGAGAATGTGAAAGTGATTCAGAAAAGGGAAAGCTTCACTTAAAACGACTGGAAAATGCAAGTAGAAGGGAACAAAGGGAACATGGGTAACTGTGGCCCATATAATTTAATAAACATCCACCTGAAAACGTTGTTGCATATTTCAGTGCCTTCACTCAATACATACTGAGTGTCTTCTGTGTGTGTCAGACACTGGAGTAACTTTGCTGTGTACGTTGCTGAATAAAACAGGTATGGATCCTGGTTTTACGGGGCTTATTATCTCATGGGGGTAGGCAGTCTGGTGGGGAAGTTTACCGTCTTGCTTTGGCATCTCCTTAGGATAAACTCCTAGAAGCTGGAAATTTAGAGTCAATGACCATGCTCGCTTAAGTTTTAATTCAGTTCACCAGACTGCCCTCTTAAATAGTTATACCAAGTCACGTTCCTCCGATACCCACACCAATATTGGTGTGGTTATTCTTTTTAAGTCTGTGCCAGTCTGATGGATGAAATGAGATATCACAATTGCTTGAGTTGGCATTTCTGGGATTTCGTTGCTTTTTTTTTTTTTTTTTTTTTACTGAGGTTGAGCATCTTTTCATGGGTATATTGCCATTTGTGTTTCTCCTTTTGTGAATCTGCCCCATTTCTCATTAGGGTGATAATTTTCTCATTGAGTTGTAAGAGTTATAGATTTAAAATATTAACCCTTTTTCATATGTATGACAAATACTTCCTTGTATTTTTTTTTTGTCTTTGAACTTGATTTATGACCTCTGGTCTTACATACAAAGTTTAAATTGTTTTGTAGTCAAATATGTCATTATTTTCCTTATGATTTATTTACTTAACAAAAATAGCTCTAAGTGCCAGGGCACTGTTACATGTGTTTTACGGATATTCATTCATTTAATCTTTATCACCACCCTACGAAGTGGGTCTTGCTGTATCCTCCATCTTTCCCCCTTTTTTTTAAGATGAGGAAACTAGGGTTTTCCCTGGTGGCCCAGTGGCTGAGAATCCGCCTGCCAATACAGGGGACACGGGTTCGAGCCCTGGTCCGGGAAGATCCCACATGCCGTGGAGCAACTAAGCCCGTGCGCCACAACTACTGAGCCTGCGCTCTAGAGCCTGCGAGCCACAAGTACTTAAGCCCGCGCGCCCAGAGCCCGTGCAAAGCAACAAGAAAAGCCACTGCAATGAGAAGCCCGCGCACCACAACAAAGAGTAGCCTCCGCTCGCCACAACTAGAGAAAGCCCGTGACCCAATGCAGCCAAAAACAAACAAATAAATAAATTTATTTAAAACAAAAAAAGATGAGGAAACTAGGTAGAGAGAAAGAAGTTAAGTACCTTGATTAAGGTTACCCAGTTAGTATGTGGTGAAGTGAGAATACGAACGTAGTCCCAGGCCACTAAGCTATATCAGCTCTGGTCTTGGTATTAGGCTCTCTGTGTGTGTTTAATTGTGGTTGCTTCATAAATGCTCACTGAATCTTCCCCATCCTTGAGGGCAAGTGCCACATCTTTTATTTCTCCCAGTTCCTTCCCAGTGCCCTCCACACAGTACTGGGCGTGGTATGGCTAGATGCTTAATAAGTACTTTTTGACTTCTGGATCATCAGCTCACACTTCTGTTTATGCTCGAAGAGGTGCTGACAGGTTCTATATTTTCCATTTTGCTTCCAGCAGGTGACTTGATAGGCTCGGCTTTGGCTAGGGCACCTGAGCTAATGAATGTCCCTCCACGGGTTCAGCTGTACCTTCCCTTACTCCACAGCCCTCCTTCCCTCTTCATATAGGCCTCCTGGCTCTAATCCCTGCTGAAGAAATTCTAATAAGCCTTTTCCCAGGCACCACCCTTCAGAACCTGTCAGGTAAACACCAAGGACGCACAAGAGGAAAACCCCAAGAGGGGATAACCAGAAAGCCCAAAGGATGCTTGAACGAGCCTTTGAAACTCACCACGAGATGGAGGGTCTTCCAGCTGTGGTCCTGGGTGTCTCTTCCTTCTGCAAAGGAGGGAAGGAAGTGAGGAACTATTTTACTACGATGGACAGCATTCTCACATGTTATCTCAAAGACACTTAGTCAACCCACAATTAAGGAGTTATCTTTGAACATAATCTCTTGTCTTCTCATATTCAGTCATTGGATAGATTCTCTTGGTTCTTCCTGTGAAGACTCTCATGCATTCATTTTTTCCAGTCTCACTGACTACTTTCTAATTCAGTGGGTCCCAAAATGTGGTCCCTGAACCAGCAACAGCATCACCTAGGAGCTTCTTAGAGATGCAAATTCTCAGGCCCCAGCTCAGACCTACTGAATCAGACACTCTGGGGGTGGGGGCCAGCAAGCTGAGTTTACGTAAGCCCTACAGGTAATTCTGATGCACATTCAGGTTTGAGAACCACTGCTCTAATGGAACCCCCCTTTTATTATTCAAACATTATAAATGTGTTGGGTACTCATTGTAGAAAATTTGGAAAATATAGACAAGTATGAAAGAAGCAGGCAAAAAAATTACCCCATAACTCAACCCCACAGAGGGAAACACTATTTTACTATTTTAACATTTTTTCGTATTAAAAAATGTTAAAAAAGATAACCTTTGTTCCTGTATGGATTTCTGCAGTGCTTTCTGATTGGTTCTGTCTACTTTTGGTCTTCCATTTCCTTCTTTCCGCTCCCAAAACTCATCTTGGGTCCATGATCCCATTCTTCTTTTTTAAAATTGAGATATATTTGACATATAACACTGTGTGACTTTAAGGTGTACAGCATACTGGTTTGATACATCATACTGAAATATTATCGCCACTATAGCATTAGCTAATACCTCTATTGTGTCACATAATTATCATTTCTTCTAGTATTGGGAATAATTAAGATCTAGTCACTTAGCAAGTTTAATGCTTATAATACAGTTTTGTTGTGTGTCATCACTGTACTGTGTATTAGGGCTCTAGGACTTATTTATCTACTAGAGGCAAGCTATTCTTTTTTTTAAAGCATATTTCTGATAGAGCAACTTCTGGATCCAAAAATACTCAATGAGTTCCTCTTCCCCTCTGATTACTGTACATAAACTGCTTACCTTAGCATTCAGGGAGTTTTGTGATAGGATGTTTCCTCGCTTATCCACTAATATGCATGCTCCATAAGGAACAAAAACTTTGTATCCCTGGAACCTAATAACGTCATGTACTTGGTGGGCACTCAATATATTTGTTCAAGGAATGAATGCATCTTCTTTTTTTTTTTTTTTTTTAATTTATTTTTGGCTGCCTTGGGTCTTCGTTGCTGCGCGCACGGGCTTTCTCTAGTTATGGCAAGCCGGGGCTACTACTCTTCGTTGCAGTGCGCAGGCTTCTCATTGTGGTGGCTTCTCTCTGTGGAGTATGTGCTCTAGGCACACGGGCTTCAGTAGTTGTGGTGCACGGGCTCAACAGTTGTGCCTCGTGGGCTCTAGAGCGCAGGCTCAGTAGTTGTGGCACATGGGCTCAGTTGCTCCACGGCATGTGGGATCCTCCCGGACCAGGGCTCGAACCCGTGTCCCCTGCATTGGCAGGCAGGTTCTTAACCACTGCGCCACCAGGGAAGTCCTGAATGCATCTTCTAATACAGTCAAGTCATAGTTGATAAATCTGTATGCGCCATTCACGGCTCCTGCCTAGAAAAGCAGTTTGTGCCGTGGCGCATATGCCTGGGACCTGTCCTAGGAGATTCTGATCTATTAGGTGTGGCTTCCCAGGTATCCCCAGTTGAGAAGCTCAGGTCTAGAATGTCCCTTCCCGGTTTCTATGGACCTACGTTTATTATTCTCCTTCCAAAGTCACCTCCCTTCCCCTCCCCAGTCCTGTTGTACCAGATGGTTCTACTATGCCTCCTGCTGTTAGGAGGGGAGAAGGGAAGAGTTACCTGAATTAGGCCAAGCCGATCAGTTTATTTCCCTGGGAATCTGAACTATGTAGCGGAAGGCTGAGGCAGTCTGAAGGTGGTGGGTGCTGGCAATCAGAAGGTCCTTTGCACTTGCCGCTGGCAGCCATGTGTGGTGATACATGAGTAGAGGAAGCCGGCCTTCAGGGAGGAGAGTGGACAGACATATAGAGGGAGGTAGGAAAGACAACTTGGTCTCAGAGGGAAAGAGGTGAATGGAGAGGAAAACCACCTAATGATGCCCCAGTTCCACGCAGTCCAGCTGTGCTTCCTGTCCCAGGCTTGACCCAAGTTCCCACTTGGGTATCCTTTTCCCTGGAGTCAATTTGAAGGATCCTGTTCAGAAGCCCGTCTTTCCAGGCCTGCCTCAGATTCCTCCTCGTCTTTGAAAATCCCTCAGGTCTTCTCACCTGCAGCCCTCTCTCACTGCCGTCAGTTCAGTTGTTACGATGGCCTGGAGAGGGTCGCGGGGCTTTACACTGAACTGTTCATAAATAATCGCGTTGGCTAAATAACCAGTGATGAGGGCGGGGCTTTAATGTTCCAGGGCATGTTGGAGAAGAAAGCGCAAAACACCACGGCGAGGGCCAGTCCTCTCCACAGAGGAGGAACCTGGGGTCCCATGCTGATTGCGGACTGCCTGGGCTAGAACTGGGTTCTCCCGGTCCCAGATACAAGTACTCTCAGCCCAGGCCCAGATAGGGCTGTGGAACGGTCCCATCAAGTCCCCAATCAGGAAGTAGGTGTTGCCCAAAGTGAGTTCTAGAGCACACCTGGGATTCTGCTGTCAAACGTGTTTGTCAAACAATGATTTAAACAGTTCCACTTGTTTCTTTGAGGCTTCTCCGGCTCTAAGGCACAAGGGTCCTTCCTGCAAGTTCAAGAGGGGAATTGAGAACGAGGCTGTTCCTAAGCGAATTTGGCTTTTGCCCCCGTTTGTCAGGCAGCAGGTCCCAGAGATAGGAGTCTATGGAATTATAAGGTGGAAAGACCACTCTAAGCCTTCTTTTGGCTTTTAGCAAAGGTCTGTATTCCCCATTTCAGACAGACAGGCAACCACGTGTACCCCGCTCTCCACATCAGGCAGGGCTGGTCCACCACTTTCTCTTAAGGATGACGATACCTTCTCACAACTCTTGCTGCATTGGTAACGGGAGAGAGAAATTCAGAAATATGTTTGAGAATGGAAGAAACCAAAAGCCGCAGAGGGGAAGAGAGGTGAGCTCATGAAAGGCAGCTTACCTCACCTTACTCCACCCTCTGCTCAGGGGCTGCTCCTGGCCCTAAGCTTGCTGTGTCTTTAAGTTTCTGTTCACATAGGATGGCTGCTTTAGACAGAGTCCTTGTACAATAACCACGCGCTTACATCGCGTCATTTTGAGCTCTGAGGAAGAAGGAAAGGACAAGGGGTGAACGTAACTGCCACCTCTACTTAACATGGAGATTTCCACCTACGGTGTGTGAGTGTGGTCGGGTGCGGAGGCTTGGGACCTGGCAGTTGAAGGGGAGGACGGAAGAGGACTACTTCTTCCTCCCCAAGGCAGCAAAGGTCTCTGGCCTTGGTTCCTTTGATGAGAGATTCACCAGCCTCAACTGATAGGCAGATGGAGGTATCTGCATTAGACTGAGCTCCTGTCCTGGCTTTGTGACCACCTCTGACCTTTAGAAACTTCGACTCAGGACTTCAGATATATCTCGTTTGTCCCTCTTGCTTCACGCTTTTTGCTTAGTGACTTGGGGTAGGTCAAGTGTTCAGTAATTTAAGGGGTGGGGCTGGATGACCTCAGGCTGCCCCTGGGCCTTCACCTCTGAATCATCTCCCAGGTGGGTGGGATTTGCCTTGGCACTGGTAAGTAATAAGGCCTGTGGTGAGTGCCCTGATGAAAACTTACCACCCACCATCTTGGAGCTTTGTGAAGTGGAACGACTCTCAGATTGATTGGGGTTTCCTTATTTTTGGAAATTAAAAAACTCAGAAACCCAGTGGGATTTTTCTCCCCCTTTGGCTAGGTTACAAGGTACTGCAACCTGGAGGGCTTTCTGACGGAGATCACTCCGGGCCTTCCCACTGGTTTTCCTGCGGTTTTCAGAGAGCTCAAAAGGGCCTGTCCTCTGGCTCAGGTGGTGGCCGGCAGAATGACCTGGGCTTCTCTTCTGCGCAGGAACCTGCTGATTTGGTTACCTGGGCGTGGTGTAAAATCGTATTTTTATTTATGTCACCCTCTCTTGGTGTGGCTTCAGCAGCGGGTGGCCCATCTTTGCAGGCGCCTGAAGACTTGGAGTGGTGGCCCTGCGAGTTGTCGGTGGGGTTCGTGGAAGCTCTAAATATGAAAGACATGAGGCTTGTTTTCGCTGGAGGCTTAGAGGTCGGCTGGGGCGTTGAGCACAACCCACTGGAGGCCCCACGGTTTGGCCTTCAGGACGGGCCTCTTGCTCTGTAATCTGTAATGGCCACCCTCCCTCCCCCGGCAGACACGCGCCTGCGGACAGACGAGAGGAGCAGCCACCTGGGCGGGAGGCTGCGGTGCCTTTGTGCCTTTCCTCCCGGGGCACGAGGTGGCAGCTGGAGGAGGGCTGGGGATGGCCCCCGGGAGTCCCGCCAGGACGCCGTAGTTGGGGAGAAGTGGAATCTCTTCTCCCCCTCGCAAGCCTCGCCCGCATCGTAATTCTTTTTATTTTTACTTTCGAGCCATGTAAGGCATGCGGATGGGTAGGAGCGTTCCGGGGACACGTTGCCAGAGGCGCGGTGCCCGCCGGCCCGCGTGGCCAGAGCCCGGGGAAGGGACAGGCCGCGCGCCGCCCGCCCCACCAGACCCGCCGATCGCGGTCGCGGCTGCCCGGGGTCGCAGAGCCCGCGCCGGCCACCCCCGCTCCGCGAGTCCGCGGGAAGCGAGTACGCGCGGCCCAGCCGGGTCTCGGCTCCGGCTGCGCCTCGGGAGCTCCCGGGCGCGGGTAGCAGGGCCGATCGTGGCGTGGGGAGCTCCAGCAAGGGCCGCCCCGGCGAGTCCGCGCCCCGCGCCCCAGGCCGCTGGCGGCCCGGCCCACGTTTTCCCTCTCTCCCGCTCCCTCCGCCCCCTCCGCTCCGTCCCTCCCCTCCGCTCCCCTCCCTCCCCGCGCTTCCCCTCCTCCTGCCTGGTCATGTGTCGCCTTTTTTTGTTTGCAGTGGAAACAATTTCTCGCCGCTCGGCGCGCCCCGGCCCGACGCGCCGCGGCGGAGGCGAGCGGGAGGCGGGACGGGGCGGGGAGAGCGGCGGGGCCGGCGGGAGGACGCGCGGCGCGCCCGGCGGACGCCGCAGGTCCCATGCCGCGCCGCGACCCCCGCGCCCCTGCCGCCCGCCGCCCCGGGCTCGCCGCGCCGCGTCCGCGCGTCCTTAGCCGGGCCACCAAGCTATGCCCGCTGGGCGCCTGCGAAAGTTTGTCGGCTCCCGCTGAAGGGCAGCGGCGCCCCCGCGTCCCCGCGACCCGCTCCGGCCAGGTGAGTTTGCTCCCCGCTCCCGCCAGCGCCCGAATGGGATTTGGGTGACTCGGGGCGGGGGCAGTTGTTCGAGGCCGTCCAGGAGGCGACCTCGCCGCTCTCGGCTGACCGGGGACTCCGCAGTTCCTGGGGGAGAGGGCCCGGGATTGGGGGGCCTGGCCGGGCGGGGAGACGGGAGCCCCCGAGCGGGGAAGTTGCTCAGTCCGAAGAGTTTCCTGCCCCGACGTGCGGGCTGTTTCCCGGTGCCTCGATTTCCGAAAAGCCGCCCTAAAGGAACAGAGTTAGTATTGTCCGCGAAGGACTGGATCCCCGCCGTTTCGGGCCGGGGCAGGGGGTGCCGATCAAGGGGAGACCCCAAGACGACAGACAGCCTCCTAACAAAGATTCCCCCCCCCCTCCCCAAACTGTGCAGGCTTGGCACCGGCAGAGAGAGTCTCCGGAGACTCTCGAGGCTTGACTCCTCCTCACCCCGGCCCTCTTTGAAACCCTCCTTGGGTCCTGGAGAAGTTGGGGGACGGCGGGCTTTTATTGATGTGTTTTTAAGGCTCGCCGCGGTGCGGCCAATAAAAGGTTTATGACATCTGACCGGCAGTGAAGGTATGCGAGCTCCCAATTGCCCTGTATACGGGCAGAAGAGCAGTTTCCCCGTTGCCTGGCAACGCCGCTGATTGACGCGGGACGCAGCCAATCGCCGCTCCCGCAGGTCCCCTTGAAATGTTTTTGACAAGTACAGTAGACTGGAGTGGAGCGCGTGCGTGCGTGCGCGCGCGCGGGGGGGGGTTGCCCTCCCCCCCCCCAAACTCGCAACTGCCCTGCTCGGCTTGGAGAGGATTTCTCAACTTTTTAAAGTTCACATTGAGCATCTGTTCAGAGCTGGGCCAGTAATGTCTTTGTCAGTTATTTGGAGCCCTCTGGTAGTGGGCAAGAAACTAGCTTTCCTGCTGCGTTTTCTCCGTTAAAAAGGAAAAAAAGATAAGAAAACACATCAAGTCATAAAAAAACAAGAAGAGGGTGTGCGTGTGGGGGACGTAACCAATAGCAAACCGAAAAATTGTTAAGGAGGTCACTAGTGAATAACTATTTGCGGATCCGGTGGAGCAACCTTATTGGCAGCAGATTAAAAATGTTTGCTTAACTGCAGACTCACATGATCCGGATTCTTTTTTTTTCCCCCCTCTAAAATAGGAGGAAAGAAAGATTTGGTGAATTATGTAGTTAGAGTATAATAATGGAAAACTCCTCAGCTGTGGTTTCTGGGAACTGTTTTTTAAAATGGAACTGTAGTGATCAGCAGCTCTTGATACCGTTGCTATAAAATGCGGGATTTCTAGGGATGTAGTTAACAGTTGGAGAACATGGGGGGCACAGAAACACAAAGCAGACAAATGATCCAAGGGTGCTGGGCCCTGGTAACCCTCTTTTCTTGACAGTGCTGTTCTTCTAATAAAACCATATAGCTGGCAATGTTTGTTTAAAACAAAAGAAAACGTGGAGAATAGCGTGTTGGTTCCTTTGGGAAGCTACTGACAAATAAGCAAATTAAAAAGAAAGAGAGCAGCATGTTGTCATAGCAACAGTGCAATTAAATTACTTTACTGTCAGCCATGATATAATTTTCCTGTTTGGAAGCTCAGGAGACATAAAACTTTCCTCTGGAGCTAAAGTTGACTTCAGTGGCTGGGTCGTTGTTCTCTTTTGTACTCGACCATGTGGATATTCCTGGTTATCAGAAAATTAGGTTTTTTGATGGGGGTACGTCGAAACTTTGAGAGAAACAAGCCTAATTTTGATTTGTTCGTAAAGAAGGTAAAAGAATCAGGCTGGTCTCTGTCTTACCCCCAGATTTAAGATACTAGATTATTCTTTAAAATGTGTCCTGTACTACTCAGGTTAGCCTCCTTTTTTGATGAAAAAATATTCCCTGTGGATGAACCCGAGGTAGGTATCTGAACTGCCCTGCTTCCATGGGACTTTGGTCTCTGTGGATGTTTTCCGTCCTTAGCGTTGGACATCTACAAGCAGCTCCAGAGAGCTCCCCCTCAGGCCTTCGGTCTGTAGGTTCTGTTTGTCCACTTCTGGGGAGGGGGCCTGCTACCGTTCTCAGGCACCTTTGACTAGCTGTTTAGTGCCCCACATTATGCTTTCTAGAATCTCATTCTAGAGCTTCCCTAGCTGAAGTGGCAGTTATTTTAGGCATGTTATCTGGGCATATTGAGCCTTAGAATGATCATGTCTTTGCTCTTGATGTGTTCATTCTTTTTTCTAGATAGACTGCTTGATCTTACTCAGGGGTGGGGTGGAGGATAAAACAGACACCAAGCGCATTGTCTGAGCACTGTAGACGGAGAGTGGGAGACCTCTTTCATTATCTTACTGTTCTTTCCATCTCACATTGAGTGCTTCAGGAGTGAATGTGCCTTGTATCTGTCGGGGTCATTCTTTTTGTGGACTTGTCACCTCCCCCATTGTCTTTCCTCATCAGATATTTTACTCCCTGTTCTAGGTCATTGATAACAACGGGGGAGGGGTAGAGTAGAATTCTGTAGCAGTTTTTGTTGGATTTGCCTTCCTGTCTTGAAGCTCGTGGTTGCTCTCCTGAATTTTTTCACCGATTTTAACTTCAGTTAATGGCTTATCTTCACATTCCCATGTATTTGTGTGGTGTCTGACGTTACTCACTTTTTTGTTCAGATTGTAGTGTCCCAAAGAAATTAAACGTACTTCCTCCTCCAGTTTGAATCCACAGAATTCCTTGGCATCGCTCTTTAGACTTGCCAAATGTTAAAGTTTCGGTTTTAGGTTATGACTTGTGGAGAAAGAAGGAAAAAAAAAACATTACCAAATTGATGCTCATCATAGCCATAGTTTTGATTCCTAGGCAGTTGCAGCGGTCTTTGTATGGAAAGAGCTGAATTTAATCTGAACCAACTGGCCTTAAACTTATAGGTATGTCCCTTTTTTTTCTTGAGAAAGATAAACAGTGAGACCTGTCACCCAAAGTGACATGGGCTGTGGTTGCACTTATTTTGTGGTTATTGTGCAGCTTGAAAGAATTTGTACATATTCATGTATAATAGGTAAACTGAGGCAGCAGGCAATAACTGATTTTTCCAGGGTCACAGTGAGAGTCTTCATAGATCAGGAAGAAGGTATTGTGGAATTTCCCATTCTTTTTTTTTTTTTTTTTAATTGAAGTATAGTTGATTTACAATGTTGTGTTAGTTTCTGGTGTACAGCAAAGTGATTTTATACGTGTATATATATTCTTTTTTGTATTCTTTTCTATTGCGGTTTATCATAGGATATTGAATATAGTTCCCTGTGCTATACAGTAGGCGTATCCATTCTATATATCATAGTTTGCATCTGCTAATCCCAAACTCCCAATCCACCCCTCCCCCTCCCATTCTCTTCTTGGCATGTGCACGCTAAAGGTGCTGTGAACATTTCCTGTCTTGTACCTAAGGGCTAACAGGTCATTGTGCTATGTGCGTGGTAGACCGAATTTACTACTGTTAATCGGGCATCTCTGTGTGGTGGAATGTAGGTTAATGTCACTCAGTGTGGGAGCTGTGAGGGGATGTTCCTAAGTGGTAGGGGGTCCCCAGAGGTGGCAGGGGTGGGAGGGGGGCATAATCATTAGGGAGGGCATGGCTGCCTCTCTGTTTTGGGTTTCACCGCCTCGTCTTCTCTCTGTCGTGTGTTTCCCAGGAGCCTTCACGTAAATGGGTCCAGTCATGCCTCCCAGTAAGAAGCCAGAAAGCTCAGGAATTAGTGTCTCCAGTGGGCTGAGTCAGTGTTACCGGGGCAGCGGTTTCTCCAAGGCCCTTCAGGAAGATGATGACCTCGACTTTTCTCTGCCTGACATCCGATTAGAAGAGGGGGCCATGGAAGATGAAGAGCTGACCAACCTGAACTGGCTGCACGAGAGCAAGAACCTGCTGAAGAGCTTCGGGGACTCTGTCCTGCGGAGCGTCAGCCCCGTCCAGGACCTGGACGATGACACGCCCCCATCCCCTGCCCACTCCGACATGCCCTACGATGCCAGGCAGAACCCCAACTGCAAGCCCCCCTACTCCTTCAGCTGCCTCATATTTATGGCCATCGAGGACTCTCCAACCAAGCGCCTGCCGGTAAAGGATATCTACAACTGGATCTTGGAACATTTTCCGTATTTTGCAAACGCACCTACTGGGTGGAAAAACTCAGTGAGACATAATTTGTCCTTGAATAAGTGTTTTAAGAAAGTGGACAAAGAGAGGAGTCAGGTAAGCCTCTGGGTCTGGAACTCACGTTTTTCTTTTTGAAATTAAACCTGTCTCTCCATTAATAAAAAATGTTCAGGAATGTAAATTCACCACAGGGAAGTAGCAGTCAGAAACGCGGGTAATTCGATCTCATTTCATTCATTTAGATAATTGTCAAGAACTTCCTTTTCCTGTGTTTGGGGTTTCTAAAGCCAGATTGAGGGTTTCCCACTGGGGAACATGGTTACAAAACGGTGGTTTACAGACTTGATTGGCTCTGAGTATCATTGTCCTTCAGAGTCGGTGGGTGGGTCCCCCTTTGGTTTTGGACACCAAACAAAGGTCTGTATTTTGATGGCAGCCATGAACCATGAGGTGTGTGTGTATACATACATACATATATATATATGTCTGTGTGTGTGTGTGTGTGTGTTTGTATATTTGAGGAAAGTTGCCACTGAGGGCTAGAAAAAAATGGCATCTATTTTCGTTCTGAATATTAACTTGGAGAAAGGCAGCTGGTCCGGGATTCTGGAATAAATGGACAGTGGTGGACATTGCGGGGGGTGATTTGAGCATCCTTCTATACTCCAAGACCAAAGACACGAATTGCCCAGGTGACTCTCTTGAAATCGGGTGTCTACAAAGTGTTTGGCAACTTTGAAACTCCCTCTGAGTGTGGAAGGTGGGCTGAGGGTAAGACTGACTTTCAGAAGGTGGAATTTTGACTTTAAAGCCTTTAAAGCTCCAGCTTCGTGGTTCGCTAAAGGAAGACAGTTTTAATAATTTGCTTTATTTTTCTTGTAAGGAACACAATAGGTACGGTAGAAATAGGATTGACGGTTAGAGCTGGAAATCAAAATTGTGACCTAGCTTGGGGTTCTGAAAAGTAACGTAGCAACAGTTAAAATAACTTGCCAGAAAACGTACTCGCCACAAAGTTTTCGTGTTGCCCTGTTCTCACGGTTTTGGTTTCTGTGTTAGTGGTGCTGTGGTGTGGAGCTGGCGGTCTGCTTTCCAACCTTTTTAAAGTTCAGGTTCGGTCTCAGGACCCCTCTGGAGTGGGCTCATCAGCTGTGCAGGGTTGGGGCCTTTCATTTCTTTCTTTCCAGGAACAGGTATGTGCTTCCAGTTGAATCTTGAGCCTGAGAAGATTCTACTTGTCCTTGGCCTGGAAGACTACGACTGTGGCCGTGGTGAAGCCCTATTTTTCCTTGCTGCCACTGGACACGTTTGTCTGCAGATGCTGTTCACCCAGAGTTTATGTTAAGATGGAGTGTGGGGGCTTCCCTGGTGGCGCAGTGGTTGGGAGTCCGCTTGCCGATGCAGGGGACGTGGGTTCGTGCCTCGGTCCAGGAGGATCCCACATGCCGCGGAGCGGCTGGGCCTGTGAGCCATGGCTGCTGGGCCTGCACGTCCGGAGCCTGTACTCCGGGGCGGGAGAGGTCGCGGGGGGGAGAGGCAAAAAAACCAAAAAAAAAAAAAAAAAAAAAAAAAAAAAAAAAGATGGAGTGTGGGCATGCAGGGTTTGAGGAGGGTGTTGCCCAGGAAGAGGAAAGATGTGGAAACTGCGGAGCTTTGCCGCTGATCGTGGGTGCAGGTGGTGCCTGGATCCAGCGTGCAAGTGTGAACACTCCTGAGTGCTCTGGGCCCTGCCTTCCCAGTTACGTCCTTATTTTTATGTAACTGTAACAATCGCGGGGCACTGCTGCTGTCCCCAGGTGTCCATCACTTGCTGTCCTCCCCTCCGCATCCGAGCATGGGCATCCTAAGACCGACCTCCGGACTTGGCTCTGCTGAGTGTTTTAAGATCATTCCTTGAACTTAGAGAAAATTCGTCTCTCCCCTGTAAAGAACCAAGTCTGTGGTCTTAAAAACTTCCATATGGGTGGGTGCTCAAGAAAGGGAAAATCTTGGGAAGCGATTCCAGGGTTAGAAGGTAGAGAAGAAAGGGCTGTCAGGTCCGCCAGAGCAGCACGTCCCTGATGAAGCAATGATCAGGGCTTTAAGTTGGTGTGAAATGATTCTGCAAGTTACCACATGCCTGGGTCGGCGTGTTTGTCATCACGCCGGGGCACATAATAGTAATTTAGCAAATGCACACTCTGAAATGTTAAACAAGACCAGCTCCAAAGTATGCAGAGAGACTCGGGAGTATTATTCATCAGCCTGGGGAGTGACAGGCGGGCGTTGGATAGCACTCTGGCAGGAGCGCCGTCACCCCCTTGCACCCCCCTGCCCCGCTCTGGGAGTCGTGTTTTCCTGGGGTGATGGTTGTCATTCTGCAGATAGCGCCTGTAGAAAGGGAATGGTTTTAAGGGCTCGAGTTTGTTTATCTTGTGAAATGTTGAGTTCTGGCTTCCTGGGCGTACCGACCTGTATTAACATGTTTCTGATCAGATGCCAGTCACTTGTGTGGCTGGGAGTTTGTTCCCGGGGTTTGTGATGCTGTGAGAACAAAGCAAGGTGTGTGAACTCCCCATTTTACTCCTCTTTCCTCGGATAACCTTGGGGCCAGCTGCTGGCTGCCCTGAGAGGGGCAGACTCCCGGGTACCCTCAGGCACTGGTCTCGACCCCTTCATTTGTGGTTTTCTCCGGTGGCCAGCTGAGTAAGGCAAAGGCATTTCCCTCACACTCTGCCCAGGGGAAGCTCCTCGGGCTCTCAGGTAAGCTCATGTTTTCCCAGAGGATTTTACTTGGCTGTAGCTCCCGTGCTGAGGTTCTGCTGCAACACAGTGACTAAATGTGCCCAAATGTTGGTGAGAAAGATGCCAGGGGAAGGGGAGGATGGAAGCCTTGCGAGCTGTGTTTGCAGAGTTAGCCATTCCGCTTTTTGTTTTCTTTTTAAAAGTGTGGGACACGGTTTTAAGCGTGGCATAAGCATGAGAATGCAGAATGTGGTGTGATCCTTGTCCCTGGGGGCTCGGGACAGTCCCCTGCTGCACGGCTGCTTGGTGGGGTGCTAGAGAGGGAGCAACCTGGGTGGCACCAGAATCACCTGCAGCACTTACACACCACCGCCGCTTCTCGGCCCCTTCCTGGAGACTCTCATTCAGTGGGTTTGAGGTGGGCTGGGGAAAACTGAAATTCTCATAAGCTTCATAGGTATTTCTGACTTACAGCCAGATTTGGGAATCCCTGAACTAGATCCCCTTTTGGGTTCTTTCCAGTGCTGAGATTTCGTCAAGGACATATTCTCATGAATGGGTAAGTTAGGTGAGAAGAGAGGTTTTTTTTTTTTTCTTCCTGTTTTATCTCTAATAGGACTTTGAGAGATAGCGGTTTTTTTTGTTTGTTTGTTTTGTTTTTGTTTTTATTCCAATCATGGAAAATTTCAAGCATATACGGTGGAATCAGTCACTGTATGGTAGTGACTGCATACAGTAGTACAGTGACTCTGTATAACCACCATCACTGCCCGCACCAGATTTAGTAGTTAACAAGGGCTTGCCTCTCTTACTTTGTTCATTTTTTCTTTTTTTTTTGGCTGTTGCTTAAGTATTTTGAAGCAAATCCTAGCCCTCATGTCATTTTATCCCAACATATTTTAGTGTGCGTAAGAACGGTTTCCATAACCACAATGCCAGTGTTACCTCTGATAAAGTGAACAGTTCTTTGGTATCACCTAAAGGCAGATCTGTGTTCAGATATCCTGGCTGGCTTACAAAATGTTTGTTTGAATAAGGATCCAAACATTGTTTACACATTGCATTTGGCTTTGTTTCTTCAGCCTGTTTCCGTCCACGGCAGACCCCTGCCCCTTCCTTGTCCAATAGACCCCTCCACGTAATACGTCTGCTTCATTGGGGTTTCGTGAAGCTTGTTCCTCTGTCCCCTCGTGCATATATTCTGTGAAATGGAAGTAAGTGCTAAAAGGCTAGATCCCATTCCGGCTGTTTTCCCTCAGGAATACTTTATAGACGAGTCTCGTGCCTCCTCACATCAGGAAGGCTGGTTGACCCACTCCTGGGGACGCTGCGCTCGTGTTGTGGGTTCACGTAGAGTCGGCTGCTTCCTCCTCTGCAAAGTCCCCGTAAGCCTTTCATCTTACGGTTTCATCTGTGGATGCCCTTTGCCCACATCAATCAAGATTGAGGTCCAAAGTCTGGGATTAAGTTTTGTTATTTCCTAAATACAGTTCTCAGTTGGAACCGTAAGATTAGCATGTACTAACCTCTCCGAGTATTTGTAAATGAGAAGTAAAGTGTACTTTTTATTTTTTTATAAACTGGATTATAATGGCTCAGGGGTGTGTGTTTGCTGTTTCTCTGCTTTTTCTTTACTTCCCCGCTTGACACTTTAACAAAACACATTGTTGTCATAACAGGGTTTATAAAGGAAACAGTGTACAGAAATATGTTTATTATATCCAGGGCTGAGTGCTTTAAGTACAGTTTTAGCTTGTAAACATAAGCAGCTTGTCTTGGTTGAAAGAGGCCTGGATTGGAAGCCAAGATACCTGGTTCTAGTTTTGATGCTGGAGGTACATGGCTGTCTTGGGCCTCAGTTTTCTCAGCTATAGAAGCAAGAGTTTATTGTTACCTGAAGCTTCTTAATTTGGGCTCTGTGAATGTCAGAGGCTTTGCAAACAGCCTGAAATTATTGACAACATGTCACGTGACCATGCATTTTCCTAGAGGATCTCAAGATTTTGTTTGCTCAGTTTTTAGGTTCTTAATGGGACCTCTGACCCTGGAAAGGTGCAGACCCACTGGTGTATTATAATAACAATAGTGGACTTACTGTGGAACACTTTCTTTGTGCTTTCCCAATATATCATTTCTTTCTCACTACAACCCTGTGAGGTAGGCCCTAGTTTCATTCTTAAAATAGATGATGAGTTAAGCTCAGAGTGGTTAAGCAACTTGCTGGAGGTCACGCAGCTAGTAAGTAGCATAATAGGAATTCACCTGAATTCCCTGCAAATCTAAACGGCATGTGCTGAAGTTAACTCTGGTGCCTGAGCACACGTTCTCAGTGTAGACGCTGCTGTAGATGATCTCTATGTGCTTCCCCAAAG